GCCTCCGAGAGCCCAAGGCCTGTCCATCTCCCTACTGCCTTTCTTTTGGAGCTGGGATGCTTTTGGTGCTCATTACACAGCCGTGAGTGTCACACGCCACCTTTTTGTTGACAGGGCCTTTTCTGACTGAGCTCGTGCCTCTCCATTTTACGGTGGGCAGTCCTGGGACAACAAGAGAAAAACTCTGGAAGAAAAGGGATGAAGGGCATAAAGAACACAACAGGAAAAGTCCTGGGGAAAAAGAAAAAAAAAAAAAAGAAATCTCCATCTCAGTTACTCTGCGGTGAAAAAGCCTTGTGAAGCCGGAGTAAGTATTTTCTGCTAAATTAACCAGATGTTACCAGCAGGGTCTCTCTGGGAACAGCAGTGCTGCTGCCAGCAGAGCAACACACAAGGCAAGGAGCATCAGGCACCGGGCAGCCCGCCCAGCCCTGGGCAGCACACGGCACAGCTCAAAGGCGGTCACAGCACTAAAAGTAGGGCAGGCCAAACGGGAAATAAAGGAACCTCTGTCTCCTTGACAAAACACATATTTGCTCACCCACACCTTTGAAAAATCACTGCTTTTTATTAAGAATTTCTCTACACCCACTGAAAGGAGGAAAAGACAACACTTCACTTTCTAAGGTCACTTTCCTTGTTCTTTTTCCTCCCATTATTTTTTTTTACCCAAGGCAGTAAAACATCCTCCTATCATTTCACTATGAAATTATGACAACCATTATCTTCTTACAGTGCCACACTCGCCCTGCCACGGAGAAGCACATCTGCTCTGAATATGACAAGAGGAGTGGTGGCTGTTCTGATCCCTCTCCATCACAAGTCACATCCATGAGGTCTTGGAGACACAGTTAAAAGCCACCAAAGCAGTGCAGAGCTGTTGCAATGCACACATTGCTGGAAGCCTTTTTTCAATTCAGTTCCAAGTTTGTAATATTTAAATTACTTGAATTACTTGGTAGGCTTTTCCTGAGCAAGAGTTGATATTGGTTTAATGGCTGAAATTACATCAATGAAAGAAAAAACACACAAAGAAACTTGCCAGATGAAGGAATTTCATCTCTGCTACCATACCCCGCAATTTCTTTTCCTGTGAAGGGAAGCTCCTCTAATCTAAGAGTCACCTTTTGGCAAAGTACCCTAGAGTATTTTTAACAACTATGACTTAAAATAATTTCATTTCCACGGGCAAAGAAAATAATTTGCTTTGAATCTCCGAGTACAGAACTGGTAGAACTCAGAATTGCCAATAAATGTGCAGAAGACGCCCTGCCTCCATTCATGGGAACACAAAAAGCGTCATCATGAAGAGGTGGGTAGCAATTAGGACTGGTACAGGAACTGAGAAAGCCAGAAACATACCAAATATTAGCAGATTTACACATCATCCATTCCTACTGCCCCAAATGTCTGCTGCCAAATGCTGCTGGGGCTCTGATTCTGCCCTCCAAATCACACCAGACCTTCCTGGTACAATGCACCTAAACAGACCTTTGTGTGAGGGTACTGTAACAACCAGAACACAAAACACTTAACAACTAAACAGCTTCATCATACTGTATTACAAAGTAGATTCACTTTGGAGAACAGTAAGTGTATACTGATTGGCAAAATTTGGCCCACTCTCATTCTTAATAATTGCAATTTACTTCAGAAACAGATCTACTTACTTTGCTTTTCTAGCTCAGTAATTTTTCTTGTTCTCTCTTCAACACTTTAGCAAAATTATGCCCAACTCACTGTCTTCCATCTTCAAGGCAATTGTTAGTAGTAAACTCTCTTAAATCATCCAGCAAATGGGAATGAGCGTCAGTCAACATCTATTTTCTCTGAAACACAAAGCCCCTCTTTCCATATCAAACTTTTACCAAACCTACTCTTGCAATCCATTAGTCTTCAACTCCAATTTTATTTTATTTTTTTCCTAATCACCTGAGTAAAGATCCCACAAACAATTTCAGACTGCCACCTGATGTGGCTCTCACTGCAACAGTTTAGTTGGCTCCAGCAGTCTCAAAATGCCCCCTACAGAGTTTATTGCTGGTTGTTAATCTTTAAGACAGCTTTATGTTCTTTGTTAACAACTTATTTCTCTAAAGATGAAAAGAACACTGTCACAATCACAGGTTTTGTAGGCATGTAACATCAGAACGTTTGAAAATGAGAAGCTTGCTTCTGAGATCCCACAAGGATTATATCTTTCTCAAATTCTATATGAAAACAAGTTCCATATCCTCTCCCTCATCTATATTGCCTGGATAATACATACTTCCAATTCAAAACAAGCAGAAAAAAACCACCAATATGGGCACTACCAACCACCATTCCAGCAGATGCTGGAAGATACCAGTCTGAGCAATTTGCATGCTTTCCAACCTCCTTTCTGCCTCTAAATTGCAGCATAATGTAGGTCATTTTTAATGAGGGGTCTTGCATGCGGCTTCCCCCACGCACTACACAGCAATCAGACACTTCTGAGTTCACGTTCTCCCTGCATCATTGCTGTATTTTGTCATTTTTCAACAGGTTTGGCTTTTGCCCACAAAGTTGCGGACTCTCACACAGCAAAGTCTCTTGGCTGCCTCATTAACTCCAGATCGGTGTGTGCTCTTGCATTTTACTGTACCATTTCCTTCAGCATTCATTATGATGCAAACAGCCTCTGGCGAGAAACTTCTTAAAACATCATGATGAAATTGTTTTCTAGACAACATAGAAGTCAATTATAATGCAATTAAAAGATAGGCTAATCTATTCCTTTGTTTGGCAATGGTATCTCAGTTAACATCATGGAGTGCAAGTGTTTATGGTATCTACGAAATCATTTGCTATAAATTGTTTTCTACTGTCCACAGCACCTCTTTTTTGTAGAAGATGTAGGAATTATAAAACCTGTTGTCTTCCAGGCTTGGAAATGGAGAAAAATTAAAGCAGTTTGCACCGGGCACAGCCTGCCAGGCTGGCAGCAAGCTGCCCCAGCCTCTGAGGGGTGCTCAGCCTGCACTGTGCTGGTTGTGCAACATGCCTTGCATTCTGCATGGCAGCAAGGCCAGCAGGCTTCAGCAGCCCTGTGTTGTTCTGCATTCTGGATTTAAATGACATTTCTCTGCAAGTCAGCGTGCATCACATGTGTACCTAAAACTGCTAGAACAGGCGCTTTGCATCCAAGGACGGTGAGCTGTTGGAGTTGCATCCTTCATCCACACCTTCCCTCTAGGCCCAATCACTTATTTCCCTTGAGCTTCAGCTTTCTGTCATTAAAAGAGGGATAATTTTGCCTGCAGCAATGCTAATCTGCCTGATACTTGCCAACACACGAAGACTATTCTAATAAGTGACATGTAAGCAGGACAGAGACAACCAATGCTGCCTTTACTCTTCCTCACAGACGTACTGGGCTTCACTTTGGGAGAGGAAAGTAGGTCACTACAATAAGCAGCAGTTGTGTGAGGGAGAAGAGGAACTTTTATCGTTAGCTGGGTACAAACACCCTTCTTTTTCCACATCAGCACTCTTAAATGGACAGGCTGGGAAATGGGACTCTCCAGAGGCGAGTGTGCAGGCAGCATTTCTTCTCAACCTGCGCCTTAATCAGCACGGGTTCAATACAAGAGGAATAATTCATGTGATGAGCAATTGATCCTTGCTGGGGAAGCCCTAGGGGAAAATTTTAATTCTAGGGCACGCTCAAACAAGGGGTTGTTTCCTTTTGGATAATGCCTTTTGGACAGATGAAGGGGTTCTGAAACCCATCCAGTCTGCAGCCCTGGGCAGGATGCTCCAGCTGCAGGCACATGGCTTCCCCCTCCACACACAGTAATTACTGGCTTCTCATTAATCGCTCATAACGCATGTGTGCACACCCACAAACCACACAGGCCACAGGATGTGGCACCAGCCCAGCTGCTGCAGCCTGGAGGTGAGCATACCAGCATGAACAGCATAACGATGGCCATGCATTAGTGCTCTACCGATGTCAGCGAACATCACCATCAATTTAAACAGGTGCTTTGGCTGATTTATAAGCCACTATATAACCAAATACAGCACAGAGGGTGTTTGGAAAAACAAACATTTTAAATAAGAGTGACAAATATAAACGGATTATTAAGGGATGATTTCTGAGGTAGCTCTCTCCCAGAACAGTAATATTTCAACACCCTCATCTAAGCAGGAACATGGGTAAACAGGCTGTAAATTTGTCTTCTTATTCTACGTTTTGCACTCCTGCAAAAAATAACTAATGATTTTTGTGCAAGATTGGAACGTTTTAACTAACACATCTGTAGACTGCTATGGAAAAGCAGTCACCTCACAAGTTAAACTGGGGGGGACAAATTGAAAAAAGAAGGCATTAAAGGTATTAGAGCAGTTGTCAATTCAAGTGATGAAGATTTTTGCAGGAAATACATCAGAACGCTGTTCAGGGATGTAAAACAAAGTCAGGAAAAAAAAACCCCATGTGTGGGGAAAACATCTTCATGCCTAATTTGTCACTCAACGCTGATGAACTCCAGTAGACAAGCTGTAGAAAATTAAGTGCTAACCTGTAAACATTTCAACCATGCAAAATGGAATATGTACTTGGCATTTAAATCAAAAGCCCTAGTCTGCACGTATCTATCTCCTTGCTCTCCTTAAAAAGAATGTTTTTTCACCAAAGAGACCTCAGTGTTATCTACCTAGCACAGGAGGTGGGTTTAAGCACTGTGCTACAGACTACGCGTTGGCAGTTTAAGCCCTTGGCACATTAAGACCATGAAGTCAAACTAATTGGAGATAAAATCCTGTCTGAGTTTGTTCATTTGGGAAAAATAACTTTTAAGTCACTGTCTTTTCAATTGTCACTACAAGTGTCCACAATAGATTATATACAGAAAAAGCAAGTATTTATCAATTTACGTGTTTAACGCAGCTCATCTACATCTACTGCCAGCCAGGGCTGACAGCCATGATGCTCTCCACACAGAAAACACACTGGGATACCATCAACCTCCTACCTTGGCTCCATCCACACTGATAATCCGATAGCTGTTTCTCGTGCTGTCATAGAAGTAGGAAACAGTTACAGCCTGCTTGCTTGCGGGGACCCAGTTCTTCTTCGTGCTGGGGTCAATTTGGAAGACATGGGCTCTGGTGGTGAAGATGGGCTGTTCTCTAGAATAGGGAGGGACAGGAGAAATGGATGCATGAGTCTGCAGAAGATGAAATGTCCCAGAAGCCTAGACTTGACCAGGCAGCACAAAGCTAACTTTTCTTCCTTGTGTTATGATGACTTTGTAACCCAAATTTTCCTCAAAATACCAATCTCCAGGACGGGATGCTCATGTGTGCTCACTCTTCCCACATCCACACATTCTGCCAAAAGCACCAACAAACCCCACACAGCTGGCTCTCCTGCTCACTGCTGTGAGCCTGCTTGGGGCCAGCACTGCTCTGCAGAGGTGCTAACGATGCTAGCAAAGCAAAGGCACAGTATAATTACTGGAATATTAAAGTCCCTATCATTAAAACTGCACTACTCCGTGGGCAGTTAATCAGCATGAGCAGTAAGGGGGAAATGAAACGGCTCCCAGGCCCCATGCTGCCTGCCAGCACACGACTGCATCGGGTGAGCTGTGGCCTCCCTCATCCCAGCCCTATGCACCACAAGGAACGCCTCATACCTGGTGTTTTCTGCCCTACACACAGGCAACCCAAACCACAAATAACAGCTGAGCGGATGCAGGGCTGAAAGGACAAGGCACAATACACATCAAGGCTTCTAGAGCACAATTAACATCACTTACAGGTGGCAAAAGTCAATTATTTTCAAGTCATACTTTTAAGCCAAGCTTAGAAGTGAACTGCAAATCAAGATATGCTGTTTATATAAATACATATATTAAATAACTATATATATTCATGCTTTTTGTTCTTAAAAGCTACAGCTTATAATGGTATACATTGAGTGCACTTAATTAAGTTCACCATGTTCTCAGTACATACAAAATGTTTTATCTTTGATAGTTGAACTTGACAGAATTCTGACAGTATTCAAAAGCAATTGTATTACAACAGAGTCCACCACTGTTAACTCCCCCAAACATTTATCTCATCCACACACAAAGCAAATGAAGGCAGATATGTGAAAGGCCAGTGACATCTCTTCACACCTTACTCTTTCCCACCCATACAAATAAATCTCTTAAATTATTCTCAGTCCTGTCATTTTGGAACTATGTTTTTATTCAATTTTTTTCAGCTGCTTTTAAATCCACCTATTTTTAAAACACAAAAACTTCAGGTACCGCATGTAGGAACAGCACAAACCATCACACACATTCTCAATCATTACACTTGAATTAAAATTGAGGGGAGTAGCTCAAACACTGTGTGATCTTGCAAAGCCCTACAAGGCCTCAGAAGGGAGAAAATGACATGATTTTTTTTCCTTGCAAGACATATGTAAGGTTTGACGTTTTCCAGGGGCTGCCATGCATGTTCCTGAATAGACAGCATGCTGAACTGCGTGAAATACTTCAGCAAAATCAATTTACATTACAAAGGGACTGCTATGTTACAACTATGGAGGAACAGCACATACAGCACCTCTTCTTCACCAGCCGCAATGGGAATCTGCCTCCCATTTCCAATGCTACCATCACTGCTGTCCCTGCCTGGGAGGAAAGCAGGGCAGAGCTCTGTAACACTTTTTTAAGACTTCCATCACACGTTATATGGATTAGCAGCATTACGTCCTTGGAGGCCATGGGTCTGTTTGCAATAAGGAATGCAGGGAAGGGAGGTTTCCCCCAAGTGATTTATTCCTTTACTCTAAAAATATACACGTCCCCTGAGTAGAGGATAATTTAGAATTTTGCCTTCTACTTAGCTGTATATTTTTAGCAGATTCTATTGTTTTTACTGGTAGTAATATGACCTATATATCGCAGCCTGAACTTTAAGGAGTTTCAGACTTTTCCTTCATAAAAACCCAACCCACAAGCAACTTTATAACACATTTCTGTTAAGTCACCTTAACAGTACCAGAAAACACTGCTAAAATTATGCCCGGCCTCACTGCAGCAGCAACCATACAAAGTAAATGTGGAGATATCCAGAAGCTACAAGGCTAACTTGGCTCTTGTTTGGTGCACGAGCCCCTGTAACTTGGTGGCAATGGGAACATGCAGGCAAGGAGAGCAGCTCTGCCAGGCAGCTGAGATGAGAGACATAAATCAAGAGACAAAGAGAACTTAGGAATGTTTAAAACTCTCATGAATTTTAAACAAAATTGTTAATGACTGATTAAATACATTTCTTTTTAAAGGAAAAAAAAAAACTTTAAAAAATCAACTTGACATTAACATCCACCATTTAGAGTAAAGCAGCCTGAAATCTAGCAAATGGAGGTCTAAATTATAGCCAATGATTCTTTGTTTAATAATGCAGATTAAAATAGAGAATGCACTTTGATAAACTGTACTATTAAAGGTGGCCAGCATGTTCTATAAATATGATTACAATTTTCAAACCATGTTTTTATCTATTTTAGTTGACTTTTAACATCTGTCTCTGTGCTATGTGAAACAAATTTCATGTAAAAAGCAATAGTTCCCCATTATCTAAGAAATATGCTGCTAATCTCTTCATAGGCATTATAAAAGCAAAAGAATGAAGGCTCTAGAGCTCAGTAGCTGCATCCATAGCAGTGCAAGGTGCAGTGCTTTTACAGCTGATAAATAATCACACAAATTCTATGAGTGTGTGTCTTTAAAACGCATCTGGTGCGGGATGCATGTGCCTCCAGTCCATGCAGCAGAGCAGTTTTTGGAATGTGATGCTTCCTGCTACAGGCCACCTTCTGCACATGCTGAGATTTACACTGCCTGACAGCTGCAACAGATCTGTAGTGATGTGCTCTAACAAACATTAGATGAGGATCTTTTCAGAAGGAACAGTCGGCATGCACATAAGATCCTATATCGTGACATACATACTCTGACTCACTGCAACACAATGCAAAAACACATATTTGCTAAATCCAGCACAATAAGCATTGTGCCAATGGTAATTTGGATCAAGCATCACTATTATTGCCTTTATGACAGTGTAATAAAATGAACTAATCTCTTATATACGTATATATTTACACAGAGTATAATTTGAAGTGCCACACGTGGTAAATTAATGACAATGCAAAAATGGGCAACATTGCTAAAATAAAGAGTTCTTTTCTCCATGGTCCCCATCCAGGCCCTGTGGGACGAGGACAGCAAAGCCGCCAGGAAATGCTGGTGCTCCAGCTGCTTAAAAATGGGTAGTATGGATGAGAAGGAATCTAGAGGGCAAGGTGCATGAGGAGCTGCTGATGGCACTTGGTTTGTTCAGCTCAGAGAAGAGGCCTCATGGTGGCCTACATCTCCTCATCAGGGAAAGGCACTGAGCAGCGTCAGGCAAGGGTCAGATTCTTCACTGAGAAGGTGGGCCTGTTTTCACACCTCTGTAAGACTCAGTTGTCCAAATCTAACCAGAGCTGCCCATGCAAAGCAGCTGGGATTTTCAAGCATGCATTGTCACCATCAGGTAGCACAGCATGGAGCAGAGCAGAGGCAAAAGCTAAGTGTGGATGTTTTGCAGATGTGATGGCAGCAAACCAGCATTACAAAAGCAGGCAGCTCTCTACCCTCCCAAATTGGCATGTGCTAATTAATTCAGGTCAGTCAAATTTCATCAGATGCAACACGGAAGGCCGGGCACTGGCTGCCAGCACTCATAGCCATCAGAAGCACAGAGCCTGCTCTGACTTGCAAGACTGCAAAATCGGTATCACAGAGCAGGCAGGTGGTAATGGCTCCATTTTACATCTGAGGAAGCAGCCATAAAGAAAGAGATGGCATCCTGGGATAACGGAGCCAGTAGCAAGCCTGGAAATAAAATTAATTTGCCTCATTTCCCATCTGCAGCTTCACTACTGCTAACATCACAGGGCAGTTTGATAGCAGATCTCCCACTCTGGGAAATTTTTCATCACATGACTGGAAAAGCCTAACTCAACAGATGAATATTCACTGCTCAACAGAAGCGATTATTGTAAAAATTAGCAATCGCAGCAGACCTGAGGGATGCTGACAGAGGTTGCAACTCCTGCACAAACCACATCTGCCTGGCACTCTGCAATAGGAGGTGGTCTTGCAGAGTCTTGGAGGTGGTCTTGCACCTGGTCAGCTCCTGTTGGTCCTGAAATGGGAGCAGGCCTTCTCACACAGCTACTGCCACAGCGAAAATTACTTGCAAGGACAGAGAAGCAACTCTGAGCAAAACAGGGCAGGCAGAAAAAGGGAAGAGAAGATATCTGCTGTGTGCAGCAGATGGGTGACCAGGCCCAGAGAGACAGGTGGGATGAACAGGGCACAGCTGCACCCAGGCTTTGCTCTGCTGTTACATCCCTGCTGCAGCAGTGCTAACTGAGGGGGAGATCATGCAACTTGTTCAAATGGCCACTGGCATGATTCTTCATTGCTCACTTTGTACTAGTTTCAGTATCAGCTCACCTGCAGAAATGTATTACATTCATGAAAAAGAAAGACATCTTTTTAGCTTCCATCTTTTAAAGTCATTATTATTTCAACAGACAATGTAATCAGCAAAAGTGCTTCTTACATTTGTAGGAAACATAATAGTTCCAGTTACTTAGACCAAAAAAAAAAAGAAAAAAAGAAAAAGAAAAAAGACCAGCTAGCTAAAGAGAAATTTTCTGTCAAAAGCACAGATATTAATTAATCTCATTTTTGATTAGCAGCTGAGTAAGTCCAAAAGAATAAGTCTTCAGGACAAAAGCTCTCAGTGCAAAAATCACTGCAGCATCTGGAAGAGCTCACAATAGCAATAAGCCTTTATGAAGACAATACATTAATGAAAAGGCTTAAGGTGGACAGTGAAAAAGCTCACGCTTTACTTATGGGCTATCAGTTATTTGCCTTCTGAGACAGTGAATAAACACACACAAGAGGCAGAAGCTGAAAGGACCCTGAACTATTCCACTATAGGTAAGATTGTTCTAAACATAAAATTAAAACTAAAAATCACACAAAAAATCCCAAGTATAGGTATGTATGTGAAACTGGTCGTTACTCTTCTTATTTCAGAGATTCTTCCTGAGAAGGCACTGGAAG